AAGATCCTCTAAAGGAGGATTTCGTATAAGCCAAGAGACGACTGGTTTTCCTTTGCTAAAGAAAACTTTGCTTCCTTTGCTCCGATTAACAAACGTTAGTTTTCACGAGACTAACTGGCACATGCACAACACTGAACTCATACGTCATCCACCCGGAGCTGCTTCTGTTTACAACTGTTGGCACAAGCTCCATTAAAGTGACCAAGTTTTGAATTTTTACCAAAAAAAAAACACTACAGGAGGCCTTTGTTCACCCCCCGGGAGCCGTGTGAGACTTTGTGGATGGGCACTTAAACTTGTTTTGGATTGATGCATCCAACACCCGAGTGGCATTAAACAGTTTGAAAGATCAAAGACAATTTAATAACTCTGACTGGATTCATCTGAAAGACATACACCTAGGATGACTTGAAGGCAGGTAATTTAGGGGCTAATTTTCATTTTTGGGTGAACTAACCCTTTAAGGGATTTTATTAACATAGCCTACATGTCAACAGAAGCTGAACCAATATGAGACCATTAAATCCCAGAATGATTTCATGGTTCAGCCCCACAAAAACAGCCAAACACATTCAGAAGTACTTAAATCTTTATTTACAAAAATTAAACATTTTTGGCTTTAAGTTGAATCTCCCAGACCTGGAGAGGGCCAACCTGGGCTTTTCCCTCCCACTGGAAACCTGTGGTGGTGATGAGATGGAGGAAACCAGTCAAACAAAGCCAGGATATACCATCAGATTTGGAGCTCAGTTGCATGCAATATACACCTGGTACTTTGGTTAAAACGCTATTGGTCCTCAATCCACAGCTTGCGTCACAGCAGCCACATACCTCATCACGGCCATCAGAAGAGACCCATCTAAAACACATACACTTTTGTAGAGGATGTATTTTACACAGAATATATAGTTGCATCACCCACCCAGACTCACTCATTTGCTCTAAAAGAACAAGACTTGTGATTTTCGTCAACCTGTGCCAAAGCTGCACTTGCTTTTAGAAGGCAGGTGATGTAAATCTGCAAAGACAGGCAGCTTACTACATGCAACCAGAACTTTAAAGTACTTGGGGGGTGTTACTTAGTAAATAATATTTATTAATTATAATAAAATGCATACATCACCACTGCTCTCTTGTTGGAACCTAAAGGCCTCCAACTGAAACTGGAGTTTGTCATCTTGCACTCTGGGCAGAAATTTGGAGATGGAGCCTGTATACTTTGCATCAGTGAGGCAACTGAAACACCAAGAGGTTTCATGAGGATCTTGATTCCCACACTTATGAGAACTTAATGTAATGTTCTTACCCATGATTTTCAATAAAAGAATACATTGGAGCGGATTTCACATTAGGGTCCCTAGTGGCAACGCAGTGGTCCACAAATATACGAAGGGGAACATGGTTGTACTGCTTCACAGATGCCTGAATATTTAAGACATCACCCAGGAAGAAAACAGTCGAAGGCCTCTCAAACATCCAGTCATCTTAAAAATAATAATAATATATAAATTAATACACACAATAATAATACCACCAATATAAAAGAAAAACAAACCAGTCATGATCTTCAGGGAGAAAACCAGAATATCCTCTGCAACCTGGGTGGACGCATATGGGATCCAAGCTGGCTGCACTTCGTTACTGCTCACGTGGTGTCTCCTGTAATGAAATGCTCATTCAGGTCTAAAAGTCTTGAATTGTAAAATTACACTAATGCAAGTAAAGAAAACACTTGACCTGGGGTAGTGGCATTTAATACCAACTGTAGCACCACTGGACCTTACAATTGGAGTGCTTTGTAATGCTGCTGGTCTATAATCAAGGGTAAAGATATAGACAAGCTCATTCTCAGTCACCTGCAAGAGAGAATGAATTTAAAAGCTGCTGAATATGCATGACTTAGGCAAGGAGTAAATTCACAACATGGTTAAAAAGCCAGAAGACACACCATAAACTGACTACCACACTCCTGAAGTGCAGAGTGAAAGATCAGGACTTTAGCAGCTGCATCCACGTTCACTACAGCACAGCCCCCTAGAGATAAAAGAGAGGGCTCAAGCAGCTGGCCAGTACCAAAGAAGTCCTGCTTCACTTCCACATGCACCCCATTTTCCCAACACTGGACTGCTACACTGTCGGAAGGTCTAGGCTGCTGCAACTCAAAGTTAAAATCTGGCTGTACTGGCTCTTCTTGGACCTTTGGGAACTTCCAGACCAGCTTCTTGACTGGGCCCAGCAATTCTTGTTTGGACTGAATACTTGAAGGTGCCAGATTTGAAGTAAGCGGAGCCTGCTGGGGCCTCCGAGATTGAACTCCATTAGAACCTTGGATAGAATTCCACTGCTCCCTAAGCTGAGAATCAACACTTTGAGGTTCTTGCATCAGCACCCGGGGATGAAACACTCGAGCCTTTGGCCTGGCACTGTACACATGATCAAATGCAACCAGCACTAAAAGCCCAAGCACACATTGCATAAATCCCATTATTACAGCCACCATATTACCACACAGCCACACTGCATTAAGGTGTTGTAGTACTATTTTATAGTGCCATGAATACTATCCCCACCCACCCCCAAACAAGCTTAATTGCTATGTGGACCATCCTAATCACATAATCAATGCCTCAGCTGCATTGAAGTTCACTCATCAAGCCCTGCAAACAAAGCAAAAGTAAATTATTTAAAAAACAAGGGAAACATTTTAGTGCTTCTGTTTTAAGATATACAGTATTTGACCTAAGTTTTTGAGTTATCTTGGGGATAGAGATATTATGAATATTTCTTACATCGTTAATATGCTCTTATCTCGACCACAAAAAGTTGGTTTGAATGGCTGCACATCTTCAACGTCCTCATAATCATCTTAATTTGGGATGAAGACTGATTGACTACAGCATACATTTAGATGAATGAAAATACTCCAGTGGTTCCTGTAAGTGAGTGCAGGAACAGGGAGCTACACATTCCTACACTCATCAAAGTAATTACCAGAATACTGTCTGGAGAGCATACGCTTGGCTGCCAATATTGTATTAAACTACACATCTCTACTTCAAAGTGAAACTTTCATTTTTTTTCTTTAAACATCCTTGACGGTAAGTGCAAACACACGTGCCAACCACATGCTAAGGGAAACACTGTAAAATGATATCAAACCTTTTTTCCTTTTTGAGAAGGCCTCTGCTAAAAATCAATCACATGGCACTGGCACCTTTCAGGATAATTTTATTTGAACAATGAATTTTTTTCTGTGTAAGCTCTCTCATTTAACCTTTTAATGGAAATAGACAATGAGGGTCATATTCAGGGTCTCCCGGTAGGCTAGAGGAAACTGGTAAAGGTTTTAACTTAGAAACAGGATGGAAAAATCACTTATGTTCAAAACACATGCCATGTGTAAAATAAGATCCATATGCACTATAATTATGTAAATGTAACACTTTACACAATAATGGGCCTTTACAATTTAATTGTAATGGTGACTGATTCAGTAAAATGTTTTTTTTACCAAATATGAATCCATAAAAATTTGTATGCTTGTATCTCAAAGCCAAATTTGCTTTGATATACAAAATTTGATATACAAAGCTTGTATATTTTACAAGCTATTACAAGTTATTTTATTATTATTATTATCTGGTTCTTCATACAGTTTATGTCAAACTTGAAAAAAATTAGCATTATTGTCAATGTGACATTGTGCCTGTTATCTCCCTCTCAGCACTCCTTCCTTTATACAGACCTGCAGACTTTCCCTCTCAGCCCACACCAGCATAGCTAGCTTACTGTAACTAATCATCAAAGTAATAATTGTTGTGCTTCTTGTTTTAGCACATTTTTCCATGTTGTTAATCTAGAATCAAAAAATCCCAAATAAACCCCATGAAAGAGGATCATCTTGGAGTAACCAGGATGCCGTGAATTTTCACCAGGATAGGCCTATAAAATAAATGTTTGTTTTGTGTGCCGCCTTTGTGTTATATGAAGGTTTTTTAATCTTTGATTTTTATCAATTTATCAATTATTGCTACATTTCCAATGCATTTTATGTATAGATTTTATTATTTATCCCTTGTCCCAGACTTTCAATCATAAACTGAAAACTGAATTGAAATCTATCACAGGCCTAATATCATCATAAAAATGTTTATTCCCAAAAAAAACCCTGACAACCCAAAGCACAACCAGTAACCATTTAAGTATTTATAGTGTGAAAATGTTTTGTTTTTACTGGTGATTGTCCCTCAGTTGTGACATAATTTCTATTAGATCCATTTTCCCCAAATAAAAAAACATCAAGGTAAATATCACGTAGGGGTGAATTCAGGTAAACTGGGACACTTTTTGCCATTGAGATGACTGGGAAAAATGTCCTAATTGACCTGATTTAACCCTATAGAATAACAGATTTTTTTATTGTGCACCTTTTCCTAGCAAGCTGTACTTTTGAAGAATGTTTGAAAAAAGGCTGACTTTCTATGTTTCAAATGTTATTTCCATCATCATCATTTCCACAGGTCCAATTTTAATTTTTTTTAAACAAAAGAATAGAAACAAATCATTCTTAACTGCATGGAGATGTTTATATCAGATGTGTTTATAAAAAGAAATGTTTGTATGAGCTTTAAAATTATTTATCTAGATTATAATTATCTAGATATTAGATAAGTTAGCTATCACAAATTATTTTGACACACATTTATTATTATTCTTTTCTCTTTGCTCACTGATTTTCCGGTGCCCTCATGGCAGCTATTTCCATAACACGGAAGCTGGTACAACTCTGTGCAAACACATTAAACAGAGTGGCATCCAAAAAGGGTCAAGTTCATACAGAAATCAAGTGGCAAAAACTCAAACTTCAAAACGAGAAACCTCTGGGGATCTTAAGTACAATAACAGCTTTAAAACAAAGGAAATTGGAAATAGGGAAGATAGTTTAATAATCGAACAAATGTGTCTCATATACAATGCTTCCTGTCTTGCTTTTGATTTTTACTTTTAAATATAATTGTGAATATTTTTATGGGTGTTCCTTGTAATACTTTATAATAAGTTATTATTATTATTATTACTTTTTGTATAATATCAGTTTGTAGAATTAATTCAATGTCGTAAATTGTATGGTGTATTTTGTCATGACATTTACAAAGAGTAGAAAAAGTCACCATTAATTTTATTTCCAAGTAATTGGAAAGATACGGTAAAGGCGCCAATGGAATAGTTACTGGTAACAATTCCTAGGGATTCCCCTCTGGACACATATTGTATCCCCTTTTCCTTGATAAACAGAGCTGAAGCTATTCACATAAAATGTGAGTGTTTCTGCCATTAGATCTCCCTGTTGACTTTTTTCGCGACAAAAAGTGAAAGTTGTAGTTGTATACACAATAATTAGTTAAAAAAAATGTCATGAAATTTTTATTTCTATTTCTGAACATACTGTGAAACTATGCAGTCATTCTGCTGTGGCCGTATCAGCATCAAAATCTCTATTTCCTGAGAGGTCACTTCCTTGCGCCTTGAGAGTGTAAAAAATGAAAGTGTTTCTTCCTTGCTTAGTGTTAGAGAGGGGCATTTCCAGAGACTAGAATTCCATTGGATCCGGGAAGGGGAGTCCTAAACCATAGCTGAGCTCCTATAAATGCCAGTGATTACCAGACCAGGTCCTCAAATCAGAACCATCATATTAGTGGAGAAGTACAGAGACGACCATTAACAGGACCATTTCATATCTGAACATCATTGACAATGGTACGTAAAGCATTTAAAATATGCATTTCTATAATTTTAGTATCAATAAATATTATGTTCATCCAACTGATATAATCCTTTAATTTTGCAGGGCATCTTCAACAAAGTACCATTGCAATTTTTTGCTTCCCTTGTTCTTATTTATTCAGGTAAGAAAGCAAACCATACTAGTGTAAATAAATAAATACAACCTGTAAACATAGTTCACTCAAAGTTGCAATGGTTTAATTCTACAGTGTTAAACCTATGGAGAGGCACTGAAGGCTGGTCTTACCATTACTCAACAATCACTATGAACTGGGAATCTGCCAGACACTGGTGCAGGCAGCATTACACCGACATGGTAGCCATCCAGAACAAAGATGAGATTGATCACCTCAACAGTATCCTTCCAAAAGTCGATGGATATTACTGGATAGGCATTCGTAAAATTAATGGCATTTGGACCTGGGTGGGAACTAATAAGATGCTTACCAAAGAAGCTGAGAACTGGGCAGATATGGAGCCTAATAATGGAAGGAATAATGAAGACTGTGTGGAAATATACATTAAAAGAGTGCCAGATGAAGGCAAATGGAATGATGAATCCTGCTTAAAGAAGAAGACTGCACTGTGCTACATGGGTAGGTAGTCTTTATGTGGTCAGGGACCCCTATAATACAGGGGAGAAAAAATGTACAAGGACCACCTCATAATTCTAACAGTGATTAAGCATATGCCTACTAAAATTTGTATACTCAGATGCCATTGTAACTTCTAGATTCCATCTTTTTTCTGTTTTGATTTTTCTGTATAAATGGTTAAATTAAACAATCAAAAAGCATGTCTGATATGGTATGATTTCATTAATTGAAATCACAAAACTTATAAAATTTAACAATTTATTAACTTATTATTTAACTATTACTTACATTTTTGTCATACAAAGTGGTGCATAACAGAGCTTTTCTGTTAAAATTCAGCTACTTTTGATTTATTTATGCAAGGTTTGCCAAATTCCGTGACATTCTGCATTAGTCAATTCCATTTGTATGACCACATTTTTCCCATTTGGGAAATCATACAGCCCTAACATTATTTTGCAGACCCCTGTCTATGGGTAGCGGACCCCACTTTGACAGCCCCTGTTGAAAGGTGAATGAAAAATGAATTCATCAATGAGTAATTATCCATTTTTTGTCTTTTTCAGCATCCTGCAAAGACGACTCCTGTGTCAGTGGTCAAGGAAAGTGTGTTGAAACCATAAACAGCCATAAATGCTCATGCTTTGGGGGTTTCTATGGAGACCGATGTGAACATGGTGGGTAATATTTTTCTAGATGTTGTTAATATATCTGTTGACAATGAAAGGTGTGAAATGTAACCATTTGACCTGTTTTCTGATTTTCAGTTGTAAAATGCAAAGACATCACTCCACCAGATCATGCTAGTGTTCAGTGCTCCCATCCTCATGAAGACTTCTCATATGACTCTCAGTGTGAATATTTCTGTGAGGAGGGTTATGAACTAATAGGTTCCAGAACGACAAGATGCACTTCTACCACAGAGTGGTCAAGCAAACCACCAACCTGTGAACGTGAGTTGAATTTACATTGTCAAATGAACATGACACATTTGACCAGATGCTTTTTTTTTTAAAACACTTTCACATTTTTTTGCAGTTGTTCAATGTCCAGTGTTGACCGAACCACAGGATGGCCGAATGCAGTGTCACCATCCAATGGGCATCTTTAGCTACCAATCCACCTGTGAGTTTTTATGTGTAGAAGGATACACACTGCGAGACTCCAGCTCCTCTACACTGTTCTGTGGGGCAAAAGGACGCTGGAACGATTTGCAACCCACTTGTGAAAGTAAGACGAGTCAGGATTTTCTAAGGAAAACACTTTTGAAAGTAGTTCAGCAACAGTTCTGCTCTTTAACATCTCTGCTCTTGGCGTTTAATGATGATCCCCTTTTTCTGGTTTTCAGTTGTAAAATGCAAACCGGAGGACGTCACCCCACCAGATCATGCTATTATCCAGTACTCCCATCCTCATGAAGACTTCTCATATGACTCTCAGTGTGAATATTTCTGTGAGGAGGGTTATGAACTAATAGGTTCCAGAACGACAAGATGCACTTCTACCACAGAGTGGTCAAGCAAACCACCAACCTGTGAACGTGAGTTGAAATTATATTGTGCAAGCAAAAAAGACATCTGATGTATATTTTACAATTGCTCCTTGGAAAAACTCTTATGAAAACTGTCTGATCTGTTCATAAATTCCCCTCTTTCCTCCCAGTTATTCACTGCCCAGCCCTTGACAGTCCTGTAAATGGAGAGCTGAGCTGCACTTCCAGTTTTAATTATGGGAGCAAATGCAGCTTCAGCTGTGTTGAAGGATTCCGACTCCAGGGAGCTTCAGAGATCAGCTGTACAAAAACATCAAAGTGGAGTCAGGAACCACCTCGCTGTGAAGGTAATCAACAACCTTTTGCCACATTTATGGATTTACAGGTTAATTTAATGTGAGTTTTTGTATTTCAAAAAAATAAGTTCGCCTTTGTTTTTTTTTCAACTCTGTAGCAATGGTCTGCCCACAACTTCCTGAGCCAATCAACGGGCATATGAACTGCTCATCTGAAGAACCCACTTTTGGCACCGTCTGCATCTTCATCTGTCATGAAGGCCACCAACTTGAAGACCCCAGTAACGAGATAGTGATGTGCAACTACAATGGGAGTTGGTCAGGGGAATTGGCAGTGTGTCAAGGTAAACAGCTGATATAGTGACTGTGGGATGAAGATATGTCATATATATAAATATATTTTGTTGATGAAATGAGAAAAACATTCTACAGCTCATTTCCTTTCATTTGTATTTTCAGCAGATCCCTCTGCATCACTCTTCGAAGTGACTCTTGGGGTTGCAGGCGCTATCAGCGGCTCCAGTCTGGGCTTAGTCCTCTGGATACTGAAGAGACTGAGGAGAAAAGGTGAGCCAAACAGTCTACTGAGTTTGTGAATAAGTTCTTCCATAAAACTATTTAATAATATATTGAAAATGAATTAAAATGCTAAATTATGTTGTTTTGTTTTCAGCTAACAAATTTGACCTGATCAGGTAAGATATGTCTTATTTTGCAGTTATGTTTTTCTTGTGTCATTACTGTCATTATTAATCGCTTTTGGTTTACAAGACTATATCCTGTTTAACTCTGCTTTTGTCTATTTCATTTTTAGTACCTCGGATACTGAGGATCCACCACAGATTTATAAGAACAGTGTTGACAGTCTCATATAGACCAAAATAGCATCAAATAGCATACAGCATATATGGTGAGCATATATTCCTCATGCACATAGACAGGCCAGTGTGATAGCGACGTAACTTATTAAAGTGAACAATTCATTGAAAAACCGAATTAAACTTTATTTTTCACAGGACACACAACTGCCTTGCTGGACATAAAAATGAATGTCATCACAAATGATCTGAGACATTTTGGATATATTTACATTATCAGTTACTAGGCAACAGTAACTGAATGTGATTTCTACTTCCCAACGGAAGCTTTAATTATTTACTCGACTGAACATATTGTTCTGTACTGTTTAAATGTCCTATTTTTATGTTATTAATATACACATTTGTTGTACTATTTATTGTTCCAAAACCGTATTGGTCCTATTAAACTATTTTAACATGTAAACCAATAAAGTGTGACATTTATGACATCATGACTTGGTGTTTGAATGCATTTTCCACTTTCAGATGAGCATCTAAAACTTTACAAAAGCATATATTTTCAACATCAAAGCATAAATGAACATTCAGTGTAATTGGTCATTCCATCTGTAGAATCATCAGCAGTCAATTTGAACCTAAATAAAAGCTGGAAGTGAAGTCACTGTACTCTTTCTTCCTTTATCTTTCCTCACTTGTAAGTGCATTAAGGTATTAGCATTTTTATTGCAGTGAAAGGTTTTGTTTAAATAACCCAGCCCAGGTCAATTTCATCTGGACGTGTATCCTGTGACTGTCAATCCTTGAAGCTGCATATAATCAGGGAGGGTTTTTTAAATGTACTTTTAATGAGTTAGCTTCTCAGAAATACCTTTCATGAGGTTAAAACGTCTTTTGAATAATTATTGCCATAAATTACCCACATTTTATTATTTTTATTCTTTTTTAAATGTATCTTGAATGTGGTCTGATGTTGTTCGATTATCAAAATCATCTAATCATTATATGCATCTCAGCACCATTCTCTTTGTGCAAGAGGTGCTTTTATGAAATGATAAAAGAACATAATAATTAACCAGCAATTTCCAAAAAGTGACATTCTTGCCCAGGAGGTTGTTACTGAATTCAATTATTTGCTAAGGCAATATTTCTCATTTTTGTTTAGTTTTAGTTTTTCACCTGCTATTTATATTTTATTATCTTTCAGATTTACTTTAACAAAAATGTTTTAATCATTTCAGTTAACGATAATAACCCTGGTCAGGATTTACTTAGAAAAGCTGTTATGAATGTAGTTTAGATCTGCTCTTTGCTATCTGAGGCTAAGCAAATGGATTTAATCATGGTGCCATTTTTATATTTTTCAGTTGTAAAATGTGAACAGGAGGACACAATCACTAGATCATGTGCACTCATCCTCATAAAGATTTCTCATATGGCTCTCTGTGTGAATATTCCTTTGAGAAAGTTATGATCCACCACAGGTTTATAAGAAGTTTGTACAGTTTCATAGAGAGAAGAAGAGTATCTACAAGTGAGCACATATTTCTCATGCACATATACAGGTCAGTACGTGTGATGTAGTTTATTCCAGATCAAGACCATTTTATTTTTGAAAATGTGAAAATGACTGACCGTTTGAGAACACTTTTATTTGTTGGCTGGGGTTGATTACATTGAAGTTGCCTAAATATGAATTTTAGACCATCGAAAATGGTCCAGGGTGAGCACCATTCACTTGCATTAGATGCAGAAAAATCCTGGAATGTTTTCCTCCAAAACCTTAATTTCTCTTAGGCTGAAGAAAATAAGACCTATAGGCTACATCTTGGATGGCCCAGGGATGAGTAAATAATCAGGAATTTTTCATTTTACTCCATTAAACTATTTGTAGAAGTAAACCAATAAAGTCTGACTTTAATTATGTCACGGGTGTTTCAATGCATTTTCCACTTTCATATGAGTGCCTAAAACTTCAAAAGCATAAATGTTATAAAAGCATTTTCAACAACAATGTATAAATAGTCAGTGTGACTTATCTTTCCATTTGTAGAATGATCAGTAGTATATCTGAGTCTTAACACCTAAATAAAAGCTGGAAATGAAGTCACTGTTCTCTTCCTTTATCTTTCGTCACCTTTAAGTTCATAAAGCCATTAGCATTGTGAATGCAGTGAAAGGTTTTGTTTAAATAACCCAGGTTATGTTCATCTGGACGTATCCTGTGACTGTGTCATTCCCTGAAGCTGCGTATAAGGGAGTGTACGTTTTTTATATATTTTTAGTGAGTTACATATAGTGAGAACATATAGTGAGAACATATAAATGATAAGCAATTTCCAAAAAGTGGCGTTCTTTCCCACGTTGTTACATAATGTTTATTCTTTCGAACCTGTGAAGAAACATCCTGCAATTTAATGCTAATGACTGATATATATGGTGGAAAACCCCACTTTGCCCACAGTTTTAGTGTACATTCATCATCCTTCCAGGATAAAATACATTTGAGAAAAACATTTAACTTTAACTTTTGATGTCCAACATTTTAGTCAATGTTGAAGGATGGACATATCACTGGATGGACAACGAGACAATGACCTGGAGTGAGACAAGAGAGTGGTGTCAAAAACATTATACAGACATTGTGATGGTCCACAATGAAAATTTAACCTTTTCCTTAAAACAAAATTTGAAAGAAAAATCTTCATCTCCCTAACTACTGGATTGGAATGCGAAAGATCAATGGCGCTTGGACATGGGTTGCCAATGGACAGAGTGTGAACTATGAATACTGGGCACCCGATGAGCCCAACAACAACAAGTCAGATGAGAACTGTGTGGAATTGTACATCAGCAGAATAAACAATAATGGAAAGTGGAACAATGACAGCTGTAAAAATCCTAAGCATCCTGTATGCCACAAAAGTACGGAGTTGGATATGAAAGGTGCCTTACTTGTTCAATTAGTTTCATAATTTCCAGATAGAACACATATTTTTTTATTTTAATAACCTTCATGAGTCTAATAGGGATGTTTCTGAGAGAGAACATTTGAGTGTTTTACATAGTCCAGAAAGGATGTTTTTTATAAATCTATGCATTTTCTTTCATGCAGCACAATGTCCAAACAAATGCACTGATAGACAGGACTGCGAAGAACAAGTCAACAACTTCCCCTGTGTGTGTAAACCAGGTTTCTCCTGGGCCAGAGTGTGAAACAGGTCAGAACAAACATTTCAACAGATAAACAAATGTAAAGTGTAAAAAATTACAATTTGTGGTGAAATATCTGCTGAGGAAGTGAAATACATTATCATTTATTAGTGGTTCTCAGCTAGTGGCTCACAACCCGGGTCTGTTCTGATGGGGCCAGGGAAAAACAATGTTTAATGGACAAAGTTTTATACAATCCTGGATGTACTGTATCATTTTATGATAATCTTTACTTAAAAGAATATTTCACCCCAAAAAATGAAAATTTGCTGAAAATGTACTCACCCTCAGGCTATCCAAGATGTGGATGAGCTGTTTCTTCATCAGATGAGTAAATTGTTTCTTCATCGGATGAGTAAATCTTCTGCAAATTTTCAATATTGGGTGAACTACTCCTTTAAGACATTCCTTGATCATGCAGTCATTTTTTTCTCTCTCCAGTCATTTCATGTGAACCACTCTCTGCACCACCACATGGTTAGATGGAATGCATGGGCACGGTCTGTATGGGAATCATTCCCTCAACTCAAACTGTCAATTTTCATGTGCTGGTGGTTATAAACTGAATGGTACAGCTGAGCTCAAATACAATTCCTCAGGTGCATGGAACGCACCACCACCTTCATGTGCAGGTGCAATATGTATTTCAAAGTTATGATTCTATAATTTACATCAAAATGTCTTTTATTATGTAAATATATGCATGGAAGATTAAGTTGAAGTTTTTCTGTTGTAGCGGAGTGTTTTCCCATTCTTTTGTTTGGTGGTGGATTGATGAACTGCACTGAAGGACATGACAGCATCAGATCTGCCTGTAGAGTACAGTGTCCACCTGCTCATTTGCTGCTGGGTTTTGCTGAGTTCACCTGCAGAGCTGATGGCACATGGGAGTCTTCTTTCCACTAATGTGTGCAAGTGAGGAGTTTGCTCTTTTTAGTTGTGTACCACAGATATAGAGTATAATGAGAGCAGCATGTAATAATAGTAGGTATACTGATGGTGTTTAATTTTTATTATTTAGATTTCTTTTTATATATAATTTAATTTGAAAAGATTTTTTATTCATTTTTAAGAAACCATATACAAGAAATATTCAGGGAACAATACATATATTTATTGTTACTACCACTAAGCCGCTATGTTATTTTAACTCCATCAGAGTATGCTGTCATATTTATTTAACAAATTCATATATTTAGAAACTGAATAAATAACTGATTTAATTCTGAATCATTTACACACACACACGTTTCTTTCAAAACCAACCCTTCATTCAAAATATTAATGTTACATTCAAAATATTTAGGTTTTGAGGAACATTATTCCAAATCATGTTTGAACCCCATGGGTAAATTTAAAAAAAATAGTTTGAACCCCATGGTAAAATTAAAAATAAATAAATTAAATTATTAGGCTATTTTTAAATGGGAGAAATGTAAGGGAAAATATAAAGGACTAGTTTCAATCGGATTCATAAAGAATTTGAGAAAAAACAACATTCTAATTTTAAATGTAAATATTTTGGCATAAAATGTATTCTTTATATATTGTTATATCTTTCCTCAGGTTATGTCCATTTTCTAATTGCTCTTTTGGCATCTGTTGTCATCTCTGTGTTTTGTGGCTGTTTATTTTGTTGCTCCAACTGCAGAAGGAGTGAGTATACTGTGAATTTAAGAGTGTATCAAATATCAAACAATTAATTGCAATTATATTGCAATTATTGTAATTATACAATATAATATATACGTTTATTTAATTAATTTTTTTATGTTGTTGTAGGTAAAAAGGCAGTGAGGTAAATTATGTTCAATCTTAAATTAAGTTTTCTAGCCAGTTGCATTAATGTAGATGGACAGGTCACAGAAATCTTACTCCTCCTAACAGCAAACAGATAATTACTAGAAATAATAATAATAAACTAAAGCTAAATAAGCGACCAGTATCTATTGTTAGAATAGTAAAAATGATTTAACAGGCTTACTGTAAGTATGTTAAAAATAGAATGAAAACAGTGATTTATGAATGGGCACCTATACTACAATTCAAAACTTTGGGGTCAGTAGGGTAGTTTATTAATTTATAGTAATATAATATGATTTATTAATGTAATTTATTAACAATATATTTTACTTTTTACTATTTATACTTATTACTACTAGTACAATTGTAATACATATGATCTACTTCATTCTTTAATCTAGTGTAAGCATGCATTGCAAAGCCAGTGAGTGTATGGCATACCAGAAGTCGTCCCCTTTTTTAAAATGTGTGTAAAAACAGTAGTATTGTGTGTCAGATCCTGAAGGGCTCCAGCACTGC